TCCGCGCGTGAAGCGTTCGAAGACTGCCATGGCCCCGCGGCCGGAAAAGCTATCCGCCTGCAGCACCAGCGCGTCCCGCAGCGCCGCGTAGCCGCACAGCACCACTGCGGGGCGCGGGCCCAGCCACACTGTGAACACCGGGCCCCAGCGGCCGGACAGCTGCGGGGAGGGAAGCTCCGCGGGTCCGGGTCTGGGCTCCTTACCCGCCCTCGCTCCCCGCCTCCCCGAGCGCCCACTCCCGCCCACGCCCCTCCGCCCTCAACCCAGGCTTCCCGGGCCCTCATGCCAGGCGCAGCGGTTCGGAGCCCAGCCCTTCCCTCCCTCGGACCCCGGAGTCCTGGTCCGCATCATCCTCTTCTCTCAGGATCTAGAAGTCCAGGTCCCTCAGACCCTTGCACCTCAGAACTAGGGACCTGCCCCCTCAGGACTCACCTCGCCCACCAGGAGAGCACCCCACCCTCCCCTTCCTCTGTCCCAGGCTCCTCTTGGTCAGGACTCAGGAATTGGGGGGTGGGTGCGCTACTCCTCCGTGAACCCTGAGCTCTGGCCTACTGCCCCTCTTCCCGGGAGATCTTATTTCCCACCCCAGTCTTCTCTCCTGGCAACCAGCTGTCCAGAGCCCTAGCTTCCGGTGACCCCGTCTTCTTCCTTCCTGGAACCCAGGGGCCCTGGCCCCCCTATCTTCCTCAGGACTCATGAGGTCCAAGCCCTCAGCTCTGTCTCCACTCGACAACCAGGAATTGCAGCCCCCAGGACCCATGTCCACAAATCCACAGTTCTGTCCTCTGTCCACTGTCGGGGTTACCTCCATAAGTACACGGTCCTGGCGTCCCGACTTCAGCAGCAGCAAGTTCCCCAGCAGCGGGAGTGGCTTGGGTCCTGGGGGAAGGGTCCCCTGCGTTGGCAAGCCCGGAGCCCCCCAGTGCTGCTTGGCTAGAGCCAGCAGCAGGAGCAACAGCAGCAGCAATGCGAAACCCGTGATCATGATACCCAGATTCTCAGGCCTCTCCCCTGCACCTCTATTTGATTCCCTTGGGGTCTTGGGTGGGGCCGGGGTGGAGACCCAAGTGGGAGGTGTGGTCACCTATGGGCTGCTCATTTCAGTGATTCCGCACCCCAAGGTCTCCACCCTACCCCCAGCCCCAGCTCCCCTGTGCCAGGCTTTTTCCTACCTGCCACAGCCTGACCTGTTTGGCAGCTTTCATGCACCAGCATTTTCATTTCAATACCTCAGGCTAACAGGTGCACCCTTGGGCCCCTTCCACTGCAGGTGTGCGTTCTGGAGCTATGAGCCTGCACGCTGTACCCTGCACTTCCTAAATATACTCCTAAAATCACGGCTGGTGTGTGCAGGCCAGTGGTTCCTGGAAACTCACACCTGGGCCCTGGGCCTGTCTATGCTGCTGAATATGAGCCCTGTATGCTGTCACCAGTGTCCCCAACACTTGCTCATGTCCCCTTGCCTCCTGGCATCTCAGCCTGGCACTCCAGCCTATCCTTATAACTCCTGGGTGTCTCCCCACATACTGACTCCCCAAACATATGCCCTGCCCTGAACACCTGCCATTTCTACCCCCAAGTGTCCTGTGCCCATGATGCTGCACCCCCTCGCCTCCAGTGCCTCAAGCCCCTAGGTGGGCACCCCTACCTGAGGCCAGGCCGTGATGGCAGACAGACTTCCCTCCCTCTGGCTGACACTGGAAGAGGCCAGTGTCAGGCTTGGGCACTTCCCCCCTCTTCTCTATCTCTGTTTCACTCTCAGCGTCTGCCTCTATTCTTGTTTATTTTAAAAAAGATTTATTTATGCATATAAGAGCTGGGGTACAGGCCAGAGGTGCGGGGGGTGAGAGACAGAGTGGGGAGCAGAACAGGCAGATCTATACTGAAATACACTGCTGAGGGCAGAGCGGGCAGGACAGGAGGGCAGGATGCCCTGGCCGGGGATCGAACTCATGCTGCAGTGGCTGGCGATAGCTCCGTAGTGCTGTGTCTTTAACCCCTGTGCTTTCTTCTCAATGTCTGATTTTTCCTCCCTGACTCTCTCCTAGTTTGGCTTTACTTTCCTTGTGTTCACCTCTCTCCCTGCTTCTGTCTTTCTCTAGCTCTGTTCAGGGTCTCCCTATGGATCAGCCTTTCTCTGCCCAGCAATGGGGTGACTGGCAGGGCGTCATGGGCAGGGCTCCTGCTTGGAGGTGCTGACTCCAAGGCAGTGGTATGTGTGTGTGTTGGAGTCCCCCCCTCCCCCAGGTCCCTTCCCAGCCCCAGCCCAATGTCAGGCCCTCTTTTTTATTAGGGTCTCTTTAAGAGCAGATGTGTTGTCTTGCTCATTCCTGCTGTACCTCCAGCACCTAAAGCTCAGTCAACGTTTGTCGAATGAGTGCATGATTTTCTTCACCTCCATTGTTTCCCTTTCTCACTTTCTCAGGACTTCTGATTCTCTCCCTTTCTCTCTCCACGTCTGTAACCCCGGCCGGGCTCTGGGGCAGACTCTGTAACTGGCCTGTGGTGGGAATAGTGTGGGGATTAAGGATGCCCCAAGTGGGGACCACGTATAAGCCTCACCCAGTTGCCCCCACGTCAGCACAGCATGTCCCAGCTTCTGGATGGCCTTGGGGAGACCCCGCTCAGGGTAGGGCTCCCAGGCCACCCCCACCCAGGGCTGGGCCTGATTCTGGATTATGAAATGTGAGATGACTGGGCATTGAGAAAAGTTACTGTCAGCAGGATGTCCGGGTTTGCAGTCCAGTCCAGGTTGGGAGGCTGAATGCCCGGCACACTGTCCCCGCCCCAGAGGGAGGGATTGCAAGACTAAGGAATAGTCTAAGGAGAGGCGTGAGCGCTGGGGAGTTTACGTATTCTGGGTTTTTTTCTCCCCATTCACTGCCCTTCATCTCTGTCTTCCTCTGGCCACTGCTGTTTCTTTTCTTGTCCCCTCTGTTCAGTCCCCCCTTCCCAGTCCAGGTAATGCAAAGATGGGGACGGAGGTCAGATGCTTCCTGGCCTGACTGAGCACCTGACGGATTGTGCTTGCGGGAGCTTGCGGGAGCGCTTGGGTCAGGGAGCCAGAACAAGTCTGCGTGGCCTGTGACTCGGTATCTGGCCCCTGCTTCCTGTAGTTCAGCCCACGCAGGTTGGAATCTGTTTTAAAGATAATTTATTAGGATGTGATACAAAAAGTTCCCCTCCACAGAGCGTGCAAGAGACGGAGTTCTGTAGATAAAACCAGGCGCACACTTTCCTCCTCCATGTCGTTCTCTGTCTTTGGGGGCGCAGACCCCATAAAGACAACAGCAACAGGGGACGGTCATGGGGCCGGCGCGCGGTGAGAAGCGAGGTGACAGCGACAGGGATGGAGGCAGACAGTGGAACGGCAAGAGGTACGTGCAGACCCCCTTCGGGCGGCCTCCTGGCTGCAGGCGGATCTGGACGCGCCCGGGCGTCAGCGCTCGCGCATGCACAGCTGGAAGGGCCGCGGCAAGTTGCCCAGACCGGAGCTGAGCGGGGTCAGGTCGATGTCCTCGGGCGCCCCCAGCGGCTGCAGCGTGAAGCGCTGCAGGATGGTCGTGAGGTAGAGGAAGAGCTCCATGCGCGCCAGCGACTCCCCCACGCACAGGCGGCGTCCTGCGGAGGGCGTGGGGCGGGGGTGTGAGCCAGGGACGCAAATGGCTCCGCCCCCATATTTCCAGAGGAAAAGATGTAAAAACGACCGTGGGGGACCTCACAGACCTACTCACTACAGGTCTGGGAAACACGTTTTAGGGAAATCGTGGGCCAGACAGAATAACCTGGCTGATATGAGACATGGGTTCGGACCTGGCTCTTCGACTGGAAGGTTTGTGGTCTGGCGCCAGCCGCCCGTTTCTGGACGTTTCAAATGGGGATGCTAACAGTGTGCCTCATGAGGTTGTGGTGAATGGTAAATGCAGATAAATCAGAGACAATGCAGTGTTTACGCAGGACTTATGCCTTCTGTTCTACCCTAGTGCTACCCCGCTGCTAGTTTAGTCTTAAAGCAACTCCGAGAGGCGGCTTTATTACTATCTCCTTTAACGGTGCCATCGAGGCACAGAGGGGTGAAGTAACATTCAAGGCTATAGAAGAGATAACAGTTTATATGGATCTAGCTTTAAAGCTCATGTCCACCCCTGTTATAGCACTCTCTCTCTCTCTCTCTCTCTCTCTCTCTCTCTCTCTCTCTTTCACCCACCCACCCTGCCTGCCCCCTACTTAGGTAAAATAGGTTTTATCCCCCCACCATCCTCTGTCGGGTTCTAAGAATATTAGAACAACCTCACCTGCGCCACCCAGTGGTGATACGCACAGTGACCGTTTAGGAATTAAATGATTCTCCCACCTCACCAGGATTTTAGTCGTTACTTGCCTCTAGGAGCAGACTTGAGAGGAAGGATGAAGCCAGAGGGCTTGGAGAGTGGAATTAAGACTGGGAGGATGTAGGCAGAAATATGACTTTTGTTCTCACCGGCTGAGAAGGGCATGAAGGCAGGGCTTTTCTTGAAGGACTGCTTGTCATCCAGAAAATGTTCAGGGTTGAATTCCTGGGGCTTCACGAACTGGCTGGGGTCATAGTGGACTGTGTTCAGGAGGGTGATGATATCTGTGCCCTGTGTAGGTGGGAGGCAGGATCAGTGGTTGAGAAGGTTTGGAGGGACTCAAAGTAGGTTTGGAGGGTCTCAAAGTAGGATTTCCACCCTATAGGACTAGGTCCTGGAGACCTGATGAGGGAGTGGGGGTGCTGAGCATAGGACTCTCTCAGGGTTCCAGAAAACATGTGTGGTTGTCTGGGGTTCTCAGTGATGGGTCCTGGAAGCTGTCTCAAGCCTGGGTGTGGGATGCCTCCACTCCTTTGTGGGAGCAGGTTTGGGATTTCTGGGGAGAGGGAGAGGGTTCTGAAAAACAGGGTTTAGGCACAGGAGACCCCCAGGGCGAAGTCGCAGACCCTGGAGATTCTGGAGATGGGTCCTAGCAAGGGAAACTGTCATGGGGGTACATCCACATGGATCCAGCCCACTGTGGTACAGGATGGGGTCTGGGAAGGGCGTGAGGTAAGGGGTCTGGCTGTAGAGGCTTTACGATGTCTGTCGTTAGGGCTCAGGCTGCCAGGAGCTATGTGTTGATTGCTGGGGGCCTGGGCCCCTCCTGGCTAGAGCCTTGGGCTGTCAGGTGCCAGGGATGTCTCTTCCTAGGGTGCCCGATATGATATCGTTTGCCAGTGTCCAGGGCACCTTGGGGATCAGGAACCCGCGGAAGTTCGTGTCCCGAATGACGCGGTGCGGCAGGTTCATGGGGATGACATCCGCGAAGCGCTGCACCTCGTGGATCACCGCATCGGTATAAGGCATGGCCACTCGGTCCTCCACGGTTGCACGTCGCGCCCGTCCCACTACGCGGTCGATCTCCTCCTGCACGCGAACTGGAGAGGGAGGGGGTACGTAGTGCAGGGCATCAGACGGCCTGATGGGCAGGGAAAAGGTGCCAGGGGCGTGCACAAGGGTGGGAGGGGTCCAGTCAGCTGGACCTGGGGGCGGCAGCAGGGGCGCAAATGTGGGTGAGCGGGAGCCGCGGAGGGGGAAGCCGGGCTCTGAGACCACGGTGAGCGGAGGGTTTGGGTTAGGCAGGGCTTCCAGAGGCTAGGTCGGCGGGTGGGTCTTCGGAGCCCCCCTAGACCGGCCTCAGATGAGCTCAGACGGTACCCATCCTGGTCGGACGCTGCAGAGTCCGGGTGGCCAGGGTTCCCGGAACGATTCAGTCAGGATTCGGGGAGCTGGGGTACCCGACAACGCTGTGTGGGCGGGGCTGGCTTCCTGGGCCGACCCAGCGTGGAGGCTGGGGGCGGGGCCAGAGCTCCTGTGGGCGGGGCTTAGCGGCGAGCGGTCCTCCCCACCTGCCCAGGGCCATGCGCACCTTGCACTTGTGGGTACTTCATGAGTACGAGGAAGGCGTGGCGCAGTGTGGTGCCCACCGTCT